TTTGCAATACATATTTAACAGTATAAACTATGTATGTTTCTAAATATAAATATAAACAGCCCTACAATGGCAGAACAATAAAATAAAGTTTGTTTAATGGAATCTTTTATATTAATTTTCTTTAGGCTTTTTCTTGTAATAGAGTGTTTAAAGATTGATAAGCAACTTTGAAGTTGTTAAAGCGATATATTTTCAAATTAAATAAAATTTGAGCTGGAGTTGTGCCTCTTTGCTGACCAAGAGAGAGGAGGCTCCATCAGAGCTGGTAAATGGACCAAGCTGTTTAAACTTTAAAGTCAACTCAAAAAATATGTTTGTCTGATAAAAGACTGATATGAATTAGTTTTTAAGTTCAAACCCTACAGCTTTACAGAGCTGTAACTGGGCCTTCTTAATCATTGTGGTATGTATTATATTCGGCCTAAATTCGTTGCATTCACTATGATTTCCTGACAAGTTTATTGTGGAGTTATGATGTTTTTCTCACCTCTTACTTGGATCGTCTTTTAATTGAAGCAAGTGCAAATGTAATTTTTATTAGTAATAAAATAATTGTATAAAACTTGCAAGAAACAGTCAAATTACTGTCCTGAGTAGTTTCTTGCTAGTTTAATACTATTAAAATAGTTTTATTCTTCTCGTGCATCTGCTTACAAAGATAGTCCTGCAAGTTAGTTTAAAAATTTAATACACCTTATTATCACTGTTAGTTTTTGCCTCCAAAGACTCTTCAAAATACTATTTACAAATACTTAGTTTCAAGCTATATTTTAAACAAATCGTGCACTCAGTCACAACACATCTAACTTTTTTTTTTTGCCATAAAAAGTATTTCAGTACTATCTCAGAATACATATCAATGGGACACAATATATTATTAAATACTTAGGTCCAAAAATAAATAATTTGAGCCAGACTGTTTTAGACATATTTTTTCGTACTCCTAGTCACAAACATACTGAACGTGTATTCACTAAGCAAACACAAATAATAGTGTACGTTTAATTCATAAAGACGAAAACATATAGAATATTAAAGGTGTAGTGTGGTATTCTCAGGTCCACTGATTTCCATTATAGTAATCGGGTAGAACAACAGGAGGCCAGACAAAAAATGAATGATGGAGGAAAAATCTGAATTATCCGCCTGTGATTCAGTTTGAAAAAAAAAGAAAGAGACTAGACACAATATAACACAGTGAAACAATGTTTATTTAAACAAAAAACAATCAAAGTTCAAAACAAGTGTACACTATGGGCGCCTTTACTGGCGAACTCTATCTGTAATGCTGTAATCTATATCTGTAAATCTATTACAGACTGAAAAAACATGGCATTACATACGTGAAACAATAATCCCACCCTTCTTAGGACGCAAGTGCTACCCACATGACTGAAGGTCACTCTCACTGCAAAAAAGGAATCCGTATGCTTGAAGTATCTCTGACTTGTCAGGGGATAATATCAATGTCCATTTCGATATAGTATACTCAACTTTACACGAATTTTCCCATGATTAAGTGTATGTGTACTCTGGTTGAATGACCCAGTTCAATGTCCATTTCGATATAGTATACTCAACTTTACACGAATTTTCCCATGATTAAGTGTATGTGTACTCTGGTTGAATGACCCAGTTCACTGGGCGACCATGGCGAGATGAACTTAGTGGCTTACTTGACCGACATCTATAATTAAAACTACATGCACAGTATGAACAGAAAAATATGGATTTTTTTTATCAAATAAATTGGTACGAAACCTGTAGTATGCCTATACTTCCCAGTAGTAACTAAGTTGTTTTTTATTAACTTTAATTTATTTTATTAACTTCAGTATGGATTCGATTATGTGTAGGAAAATTAATTAGTTATACATTTAGGCTTAATAAATGTAGTTTTACTGTAGAACAATATTGAAGTTGTAAAAATATTATAGAGTAGACAATGAGTAGACATCGGAAAATATTACACTTTTCACAAGGGGGCATTGTCGTATAGCTGATTAGATCTCTTTAGTTTTGCCCCTCGGTGGCTCAGCAGTAAGTCTGAGGGCTTATAACGCTAAAAATCGGATTTTGACGCCCTCGGTTGGCAGAGCATAGATAACCGCCATATATCTTTTGCTTAAAAAATAACAACAAACAATTTAGTTTGATGTTAATATTTCAAAATTAATTGCTTGTTTTGGCCAGCACAATTAGAACTCTCCACGAGGGGGTCGTTTGTTTTTACTGCATGATGTATTGCATATAATCATAGGACTTTGTGCATCACGTCGGGAAACAGTGTTAAACAAATTCAAGCTTTTGGACTCATCGTATAATGGTGTATATTTTTAAAAGTATGCGTTTACCAGCAAAACAACAATTCTGTCTCTCAAGAGTATTAAATAGATTTATCAAATACTTACAAAGTCAGATTAAAAATATCACAAATATAATTATTTTGCTGCTTTTATATAAAGTTACCAATTAACTAGCAGTTTCAGTTATAGATAATACAGTGCTTCAAAAAATCATAATTTATTTAAGGTCAGTCAGAAAATTTTGATTTTAAGAAGTTATTGTTGTCAGGGGCGAACAGAGACAGTGTCTGTTTGCTGTAGTGTTCACATTAGTCTAAGTAATTGTTTTGGAAGACATTTTGTGTTTTAGTGATGCTTATAGTATTACAGATGTTATTTAGGTCATTCTTCGAATCTACATAACCTTTTTTTCCCTTCAAAACATAAGCTCATAAAGGACATATTACTTGATTGTTCCTGAAAGACGTTTCATTGTTGAGGGTAATAGATTCTAGGTTTTGAATTTTCTCAGAAATTTGCCTTTAGAAACGAATATCGATCTCATTTAGTTTTGAATCGAGTAAACTCAAATAAAAAAACAACGAAGCTATAAATGAAAAGTGATTGAACATCACTGTAAGAAAAAAAAACGTGAAAAATTGTTTAATAGACTAAAATTGTCACAGCATTTCGGTGATTATATATGGTGAGCACGTGCCTCTACTAATACTCAAATAAATCATTTTGTGATCAGTTATGAACGTTACCGAATAACACCTCAATACCTAAGTAGTCGTCCCCCAGCGGTTCAGCCAAAAGTCTGAAGTTTATTAACGTTAAGAACCGGTTCTCGATACCCTTGGTGGGCACACCACCACTTTTGTATAGTTATAGTATTTTGGCATTTGTGTATAAAGTTAGATTCATAAATAATATTCAACGTTAAACTGGTACACAATTAAAAACATTTTATTTAGGCCTATCTATGGCCTTCAAAAAGTTGACGACTATACATATTTCGAGGATGACGTAACGTCGAAACATGTAGAGTCGTCAACTTTTTGAAGGTCATAGATAGGCCTAAATAAAATGTTTTTAATTATGTACCAGTTTAACGTTGAATATTATTTATTATTTTAACTTTTGTATAGCTTTGTGCTTCAAAACAAACAAGAAATAAAAAATACGTAATTTTCGATACGGGAATGGTTATTCCTAATACGTTTATTTAGCATAGAATGTTTATTTCCTCTATGTGTCATCTTCAAATCTAGAAA